TTGAGTGAGTACCATTTATGAAATTCAATGCCTCTTTCATGTTTATTTATTTTTTTCATAACACCTGTGTCGCAACTTGTCAAAAGTAAATATTTCCTATTACAACTAACGACTTTCTATAATCAAGTTTCTGTTTCTAATGTGCTGCACAGCTACTCCAGCCATTTTATTACCTTGGTCTGTATAAAATAAAATGATTTTGAATATTTATACTTTTTGCTATTAATTTAAATGATATATTTTTAAAAAATTCTGTTATTTAAATACTATTTAGTAATGTAGTGACTAGGGCTGCAACTAACGATTATTTTGATAATCGATTAGTTGGCCGATTATTTTTTCCGATTAATCGGATCTTCCTTCCTTTTTTTTTTGACAAAAAACACTTCCACATTCTGCCCAATGTCCTTTAAACAAACGTGTCAACTGAATGCTATGAAAATAGTGCTTAACAATTTATTAGACGCACATCATAATAATTTTGCGCTGAGGACGAACATGCATCTGTCAAAGCGCCTGACAGGGCAAGCCATTACGTTAATGCATTAGGTTAAAGCTTAAAATAAAGAATTCTCAAGTTTTGGGCAGCTTGGATCACGTACTTCTACCGCAGCATTTCATTCTGTTTCCTTCACTATTTTTAGATGCATTTTGTCCATAATGCGCTATTCAGTGCTGTAATTTGACGTGACCGGCTGAAGTTGGACGTGCACCGTGGGCAGACCCGACTAATCGATGATGAGAATCGTTGTCGATTATTTTCATTATCGATAATAATCGATTTTATCGATTAGTTGTTGCAGCCCTAGTAGTGACATTATATGAAAGCAATTTAGTGATGTAGTGAGGTTATTTATATTAATTTAAATAATATTTTGTCTCGTGTATATACTTTCATATATATAATGTTGTATGTGTGTATATGCAGTTTTAGTACTATAAACATTATAAAGCTTTTTATACAAATGGATTGGCATTGAAAATAAAATTGGACACGCAGTAATTTATCCATTTTATTATTGCTGAAATCAAAAATTGCAGCTGATTTTAAACATCCTGATATGATGTATGGCTTTGACACTTCCACTGTAGACAGGGTGTTTACGGTTTATAACTGCATTTGTTTTTGTTGCTAGTTTGATAAGTTTGATAATGCTTTCAGGTATCAGTATCACTTTTGTAGTTTCAATTCTGTTTAATGAAGTTTTTACCATATTTATCTAAATTAATTCTGCAGAATTCAAGAAAAGGCTAAAAAAGTGCAGAAAATGTAAAAAATATGCGGAATGTTTTGTAGTAAGTCGCACTTTAGTTATCAGGTCTTCAGGTATTTAAACATCATTCAGCCAGAGCATTGTGGACTGCTGTGCTGTTAATGTTGACTCCTGCGTCTCTACCTGGTGCAAGCTCCAAAAATCTGTCAGTGGAAATATTTGTCGTGATATACCGACTGTTAGCAAGAATCCAGTCAAAGCCACTTTGCTTGTAGGTTTTTCTTACAGACAAACTCTTTCTCTTTCTGTCGTTCAGGACAACAATCATCGTCACTAGCTCATTCCTGGATGCTTTCCAGAAAGTGGCAGACATTGCAACTGGAACACGAGGTAAGATGAGATCTCTACCTCCTTTGTCTCTCTCTCTGCTGTCTCACCGCTCAAACAGTCTGTCTCTCCAGTGATGATAATGAGGAAAGCAGGCTAGTCGTATTTCACAGGAAAGGTTATTCATCAGACACGAACGCTCTGGAATTTGACAGTGCATACTGATAAAAAAAACAAAACAAAAAACGATTCAAACGTACTGAGACTGAGCTAATATATTTAAGTTGATGTGTGTGTAAAATTGTCAGTGTTAAAACACTTTCTGCCAGTTTAAAGTGCAGTGAGGCATTTGTAGATAGACTCACCCAGAAAAGTGTAAACACTGTGGTGTTAGCAAAACATTGCTGTGTTTGTTTGTTGAGCATTCCGGCCAACCCAACACAGCAATGTTGGCTCGACCAATGGCATGATTTGGGGGCGGGGCTATCTGTTTAATTGACCAATGGCAGATAGGGCTTTGTTTGGGAATTCTGGTTGAAAACAAACATATTTACATTTTGTTTGATGAGACACTAAAAGTGCATATCATACATCCAAATGTGAATTTTGATTAAAGCAGTTTCACTTTCTATTTTATAATTTCAAACTCGTTTGTAGGATTATGTTGTTTATTCTTCTTGAGCGAGATTAAGGGAAATGTGTTTTTACTTTGAAGATCAGCTTTTTCTTATCGTTCTTGCAATCAAAACGGAAAACTAGTAATGCAGGTTATCCTGTTATGCTCTATATGTAGTGTATTATCTTTTTGTTTATTCTATATTATCTTTTTGAGATTTGTAATTCATTTGTTTGCACTATGAGGTCTCACCTTTAGGACAGCGTGTTAACCTCCTGAATAAGCGGTGTAAAATCACCAAGGCAACAAATGTTCAACCTTAATTCACACAGAACCAAAAGAAGGTCATCAACGTATTGTTCTCTGCTCAGACAATTGGAGGAAGGCATGACTGTCTCATAATGGCCCCGTATTGGGTTGCATAGCTCCACTTCTTGTTAAGGTGACCTGTTCATTTCTAAAGTCTTTTTGCTGTGTGTTTGCACTCCTCGTTCTTTGTACTGCCGCTGTGATTTAGCCCTGACTCTGTTTATCTTGCTGATAGTCCAAGAATTTTACCTTGATCTTATGCCGCTGAACGCTGAATGAGATTAGCATAACAAAAACACGGACACTGTTGCCCACGTGCTATTTTGAATCTGTCTTGAGTTGTTTTTTTTAGTCTACTTAATGAATTCAATCAATGTAGCATAATATTGGAAGTGTACTTCCTTTTTCCCCCATCTTAACCTCTTTATTTAAGCTTCATTTTAGACTTGTATACTTATTGTTGATATACTTCTTTTGCCTTGATCTAATTAGTCTACAAAGAAACACGGCAACCGTAGTAAATAATTTGTGAGTTGTTTTGTTTGTAGCTGAAACCTGATCTGTTTCTAATGTCCTAGTCCACAGCTGAATAGGCCAATAGCAAAACAATGTTATGTCTTAGTTCAGTTGTGAGTTGCATTAAATTACATGTTGTGAAAAAAAAAAAAAAGCAATTCCAATTTCCAATTCCAGTTTTCAACTTGGACAAATGCAGTAGAATGGCAATTGACGTCAGACTTCCACCTTGGAAACTTGTGAGGAAGTCCACATCAATGACGTCATGTGAAAGGTATTTATGTAGGCTGCAGACAGCATGTCAGCTCACTAGATTTTAGAACGGAGCTGTAGTATTAACTTATTCTGTGTTTCGTCCCAATTTGCACATGCAAATATTTTCATACCCTAAGAGAATTCATTTACCCAGAACACAGAAGAGGTCTTGACATGCCAGAAAAAGGGAGTGAAAGAGCATTTAAAGATTTAGCTGCCAGTGGTGCTGCTGCACCTTAACACGAAAGAGCTGTCATGATTCAGACCTGCTGTGTCATGCCTTCTGATGCAAACGTTTGCATGAAATGTCTTTGTTTGGTGGTCTTGACTGTGTTGAGGAGGGTTTTTTTTTTTCTGTTCTCGCTGAAAATAAAGGAATGGTTTGGATTGAGTTTGTGTTTGATTAGGAAGTTAGTGTTGACATGCTTGGCATCTCTTTCAGTCTGAGGAGTTTTACGTTCTTTAGATTGTTGTCGGCTTTGTGACAGGCTTGTTCTTTGTATAGTCACTTTCACTCTTCTTTTCACTGATAAATTCATCCTTGATGTGAGAATTTAAGATCATTGATGCTAATTTGTTAACAGTTACTCAAAATATATATGTAGCTTAGAAACAAACAATTTTCAAAATAACTACACTGACAGTACTCAGCAGTATTTTCTGCCCTATATTATAGGTCTGTCTCCATGTTTGTCTTAAAGTCATATGATGCAATTTCAAGTTTTCCTTTATCTTTGGAGTGCTACAAGCTGTTCGTGCATAGATAAGATCCCTAAAGTTGCAAAGACTAAAGTCTCAAACCCAAAGAGATATTCTTTATAAAAGTTAAGACACGTCTACGCCCTCCTAATATGCCTCGTTTAAACACGCCCCCACATGTCTACGTCACTGTGTGGGAAGATTTGCATAACACCGCCCAAATGCTCTCGCAAAGAAAGAAGGAATAACTTTGATTCTCGCTGTAGTATTGTTGCCGCCATGTCGTGGCCTTCCAAAAGAGGACACGACTAGAAATCAGTGGTTAAGTTGTATTTACAACACTGTTCCAGAGCAGTTCAACCCAAATATTCAGATGTGTGCAGCGCATTTTACGAGGACTGTTTTCTGAACCTGGGAGAGTATCCTACAATGCCGACTGTTCTGACTCACAGCCTGTAAGATGTTTTCATATTTAAAGAATTTGCCACTGACTCAAACGCGAGTTTTGAGCAGTGTAGAGTAGCGCTTGTTTGTCGTTTCTCCGATCAGAAATGCAGACATGGTTTTATGTTTACGCGGCGCGATACGCCAAGCAACGCGTAAAAAAAACAAACAGTATAAGTCATTATAATCAGTAATTATGTCCCCACTGGATGCAACAAAAGCCTCGTTTGTAATGGGTTTTATTGGTTTTGTCTCGTCACGCCGGGACACGGCATCACAATATGGTAAGAGGCGTAACATTTCCAATCACACGCTTGAGGTATTCGGCCAATCATAATGTACAGTATGTGGAAAATAATGTGATTTTTGAACCTTAAACCGCATTAACACATTGCATTACACCAAATACACAAAATAATGTTCTTTTTAGCAACGTCATATGACCCCTTTGAACAGGACACGCACACTTGCTCTCTGTTGTCTGATTTCCACCAGGACCCTTGACTTGAGTCTCAGTATTGATTATGTTGACAGGCATATCAGCTGCTGAGCCACCCACATCCCACAAACCTGATCAATCGACTTATTGATCACAGCTGAGACAGCTTTGTGAAACCAAACCATCTGCTTGGGGTTTCATTCATTTGATAAAATTGCTGTTAAAAAAGTTAATTTCTTTATTTATTTCAGATTTAATTAAATCACAGTTACAAATGGTAAATTAATTCTTATTTTTATTTGCAATTAAATTATAGCTACATACTGATGGGTATAATTTATGCAAACTACAATTATTTAATGTAATTCTAATTTAACTTAAATAATTATAATAATGTGCTTCTTGTGAATAATGATTTGGCAGTTATAAATGTCCTAACATTTATTAATAAATATTATGTATTTATTTATTTTTGGATATTTAGGATTGGATGTTTTATCGACCAATACACAGCATTCTCAGGACAAATATTTTAGTGTAATGTTCCGGTCACCATGTTGATCTTTATTTTGCAATAATGACCAGGTGACTGGACATTATCAATCTATGTCTACGATCAGTGATGTTAATGAATGATAAAGACCAGGCCTTGTCTACTATCCATGTAGTAGCTAAAGGCAGGATGAGAAAACTACCCCATCCTCCATCTTTCTAATCCATCCATTCATCTATCCAACACTCATTCATTCACTGATTGCATTGATTGATGCATTTCTTTGTTCACTGTTGCGTTTTACTGGAGGTTACAGTCCAAAACTGCCTTGCATGCTCTTCTTCAGCTTTTCTCTTCATCAGTTTGTGATTTGCAATTTTGCCTCCATTTTCCAACCTCATTCCTTCCACCAATAACAGATGAGGGCAGAAAATCGCCCCGCTTCCTTATTTTCTCTCCGTCCATCCTTTTTCTTGCACAGCACTTTTAAGGCAGCTCCTCAGAGGGCAGCTGGTGGCCTAAATTTGCTGCTCATGAGTTTGTGCCTTAGCGAATAGTAGGGGTTGAACGACTTCTGATTTTTTAAAGTCGACTTTTATGTGATGAAAGTCGAGTTGAAAGTCGACTAGTCGCTGATGATGTCATTAATGAACAAATACGTCTGGAGCTGTGACAAACACCTTGTGCACAGCTATGGCATATGACGCAGCGCTGCCCACATGGCTGTTGCTCCTATAACAGCTCATTTTTATCAGTTCTTTTGTCTTTCGATTGCGTGTGTGAATTAATTCTAGGCTACCTGGCAGCGTTTCTCTACTAGTACTGAAGCTGTGGGATTTGGTTAAGAAATATATGCTTGAACTTTTCAGTTTCTAAACTATTTTATTGAGAAATCACAGAACCGTGTTGACAATTACATTTCCGCGCTGAATGATTCTGTGCACGTGCGATCTGCACGAGATGTACGCGCTACTGTCCTAGGTGTGTGCGTTATAGTGCAGCAGCACATTAGATTAGAACGGCGATTAACTTACCTGAACAATAAGCTGTTTAAACCGTGCATTCTCCCATTCAGTTTCGAGCATCCATTAATATAATCACACATGTCTTGTGGAGCGCTTTCAGAGTATGCATTTATTTGTCATTTTAACTGTTTGAAAACGGAGCGTAAATTTGGAAGTCCTTCAAAGATTTCTTATCCTGTTGCGCCCCCTATAGGACCAGCGACTAGTCGACGTCAAGCTTAAAGCGTCATGGCAGAGCACTGTAGTCGACTAGTCGATTAGTCGGTG